CAACCTTGGTTTCCTCACCTGGGAGGTGGATATTGACCTCAGTATTCACTACAGAGGATGTAGAGCCTTGGGGAGGGTTCAGAGATACTTATACCGCACAAAGAGTGTGTGACATCTGGGGATCAGTCAATAAAAGCTCATGTCTCTAATTATGACCAAGGAAAATGAGGAGGGGACTTGAGGAGTCCTGGTCCTCAGTCTAGTTCAGTCCTCCGTGGCCTGAGCAGGTCATTTTCCCTCCCGGGTCTCAGTTCCTCCATTTACAACAGGAAGCCATTGGGCCCAGCACTGACATCGCAGAGGAAGCTGTAGACAGGGGTGTTAGGTCTGCACTGAAAGACACTGAGAGAGTTTAAGAAATTGTATTGCATTCTCTCACAGCGGGCTGAGAACAGTGTGTCAGTGTCAGCCCCCAAGGGGATGGTTAGGTTCTCTTATGTAGGGTGGAAGTATGTAACACAGGGTCAGGGTGTGGGTGCGCCAGATGGTCAAGCAGAAGGAATGAAGGGGAGGGCACGAGTCAGTCAAGGGAGGCAAGGGAGGAGAGTGCACAGGTCAGTCAGGCAGAGAGGAGTCCTTATCTTGCAGACACCAGCTGTCTGTCCCAAGCCATGGGAAAAGGCTTATAACAATGTATATTTCAGAAACACGTCCAAGGAGGAGAGATTAGGGGTAGTTCATCCTAACAAGGGGAACAATGATCAGGGTTGTCCTGAGTCCTTGTGGGGTGAATAACCTGGTCCAGACTCAGTCAGATAAGCCTTAAGCAATGATCACATGATCTAATCCATTAGACTTTATATTTCCTGTCTCATTCACGTGACCAGCTTAGGGTATGGTTGTCATTTGCTACAGTAACAAAAGAAACACCGAAAGCTTGCTGTCTTAAAATACCAATACTACTTATTATCTGGCATAATCCTGTGGGTGCTGAAGGGTTCTTCCGGGTCACGTGGCATTGGCTGGGTGCCGAGAAGGCTGGAAGGTCCAGATACACCCAGTGTTAATATTTGCCCCCCGCCCCTTGTGCTATCATTCTCCTCCCCCTCCATGTGTAATATACGCGTTATTTTCCTGGACAATGGGGAGGAAGTGGTAGATCTCATGGCCTGCATACTTTCTAAACACTTCAGGGTGTATTTCCTAAGAACAAGGACATTCTTTTGTGTAGCCACAGAACAATGATGGAAATCAGGAAACTTAACATCCATCAGATGCACGGTCCATAGTCACATTTTTGCCAATTGCCCAGAAACAGCCCTTGGCAAGCTATCTCCCAACTTGGGATCCTGCTTTGCGTCAAGCTGCCACATCTCTGTTTTCAGCGGATTTTCACCTGGAAGAGCCCTCGGCCTTTCTTGGTCCACACCTGCTCTTTAGGCAAGTGGATTTCTGTGTGAGGGCTGGGGGTGCTTAGAGCCATCTCCTTCCTGCCACACCTGCTGCCTGCCTTAAGAGTCCATTAGAGTCCATTAAAGTCCATTAGGGACAAAGAGTCTATTTGCTCTTTGTCCCTAATCCTTCTGGGGGTAGACCAGGAAGTCCCACTGAGCAGCCTCGCCCTGGGGCTGAGAGAAGAGACAGGGAATGTAAAATATTCCTTCTGTGTTGTTTTCTTGTGACTTCTTTCCAGCCAGGAAAATGTGATTCTGGTAACCCATGCTTGTTCCCTTTTCTTTTTAACCACATTTTGTTACAAAAACAATATGCTGGCCATCATAAAGGGAACTTCCCAACAAGGACTTTCCTCTCTGAACCTGTTTATTTTGACATGTGCAGGTCTAGTGATGCATTTTGGGTTTTTTTAACTATATTTTTATTGATTTCAGAGAGGAAGAGAGAGATAGAAACATCAATAATGAGAGAGAATCATTGATCAGCTGCCTCCTGCATGCCCCATATTGCAGATTGAGCCCACAACCTAGGCATGTGCCCTGACCAGGAATGAAACCGTGACCTCCTGCTTCATAGGTTGACGCCCAACCATTGAGTCACGCTGGCCGGGCTAGCAATGCATTTTATATACTTGAAGCTGCTGTGCTATGCTTATGTCCTCTGCTTTTTCACATTTTCTAAAATCTGATTGTTCCCTGTCACTCCCCTCCATGTAGGACACTCAGAATAAAGTGGGGACATGACCTCCAGTGGCTTGGGAGACCCCTGCCTGTTCTCACCCCAACGCGTGGTTCCTGTGCTCCCCACAGCAGACACCAGGCTCTCTCTCAGCTCAGCCTTTCCCTGCCACGGATCCATAGTGCCACCTGTTAAATGTCCCTCGGCGTGGCCTAAACATCACCTCTTGCTCTTGCCACCCCAGCTGCTCCCTCAGACCAGACCAGTCACTCTCACTGATTCCAAGTAGATGTTACCACTGTTTTGTAAATGGGCTCACGTGTCTGCCTCCCCCACTGACTGTCATTTCCTTGGAGTTCCAATGTCCCCAGCACCAGGCTTACCACATGGAGGTACCCCCGGAACTCTGGGGGTGAATAAGGCAGATGTGAGGAACAGTATCAGAACCCTTTTACTCTGATTTCACTTCCAAGCCGTGCTCATAACACTCCTCTCTTTGAGCATCATGACATCTGCTGTGCCCCTCCACCCCTCCCGCATCCCCGCCGGCTTCACCCCCTGGTCTGACAGCTCCTTTTTTGGATTCTAAGTCTGTTTAACAAAGGTTCTTTGCTTGATCAAACTTGAATCAGGCTTCTGAACATTCTCCTAGGCCCATACATCAGGGCACTTCTTTGTAAAATTCGGTTTTTAGCAAGAACCCTGCAGAGTGGTTGTAGTAAGAGCTTCCATCCTTGATATCTGATCACCCTTAGCTCCTGACTGGGTTTCTCAGGCTCCACCACCCCCCTCACCAGCCTCAGCAAGAATCCTGGTACCTTGCTTTCGCCAGAACAACCCCCTCACCCTGCGTGTTTCCTGGTAGTAATTTTCCACGCACTGCCCCCACCCATTCCTGGGTTATAAATTCCCACTGTTGTTCTCACTGCAGTGGTCCCTGCATCCATTGTGATGGCTTGAACCAAGTGCTTTCGCACGTGTCAGTGAACTTGATCCCCTCTAATAATTCCATCTCCCCCGGGGACCAGCTGTGTAAAAAGGTGCGCTACCCTTCCGCCCTTGAGTTTCTTGACCTCAAATTCTTTGTCCTCCCCACCCTTCAGCCACCCACATTACAAACCTTGTCACCTCCAGAATCTGCCTTACCAAGAAATCTTTAACTTAGCATCTCCCCCTCTGACCACAACATCCTATTGTTCCCACCCCCCTCTTACCCTCCCTCAGTATATCACTCCCTCCTGTTTTCCACCCCGTCAAGACCTCTGGCAGCTTGGACTGCTATTTTTATTATTATTATAATTACTAGAGGCCCGATGCATGAAATTCGTGCAAGGGGCTCAGTCCTCGCAGCCCCAGCTTTGTCCAAAAGGTCATTCAGCTATCCAGTCTAATTAGCATATTATGCTTTTATTATTATAGATAATTATTATCAGCCCCATGCTGTCTTTTTGTTTTGTCTTGTTTTTGTTAATCCTCAACCAAGGATATTTTTTCCTTTGATTTTTATAGGGAGTGGAAGGGAGGGGTTGAGAGGCAGAGAGAGAGAAACATCGATGTGAGAGAGATACATCAATTGGTTGCCTCCCTCAGGGTGGAGCCTGCAACCGAGGTATGTGCCCTTGACCAGAATCGAACCCACGACCCTTCAGTCCGTGAGCCAACACTCTAACCACTGAGACAAACCAGTCAGGGCCTCATACTGTCTTGACTTAATTCTTCCTTCAACCAGACACATGGTCACTACCTCAGTCCATCTGGTCCCAATACACTCTACACGCTGCCCTTCTGGCACCTCTGCCTCAAGGAAGCCTGGCTCTATCTAGCAGTTCCACTTCTGTATGGATGCTCAGCCTTCTAGAGAAATTCACCCAGGGGTGAAGACTCCACAGACTCATGGTCTCCAGTGTCAAGTCCTGGCTCTGCCACTTCAGGCCATGAAATGCTTGTTACTTCATCTCTGCAAGACGTGGCTTCCTCACCACCAAGTGGGAAGCAAGAGCACATGGCTCTCTGGAGTGCGGGGAAGGTCAGCGCGGGCATGCAGCACACTGCAGTAAATGTGAGCGACAGCAATTGCCATCATTGCTGATGGCCAACCCTTCACGCAAGGGCAAGGGGAGGTTTCTCTGAAACCACTGACAGCTGGTCCAAGCCTCCGTCTTCCTTCTCCAGCCCCTCATCCCGCCTCTTCCGTGATCATTCACCACTCAGCTCCTCCTTCATGGAGGAGACGAAGCCACTGGCGTAAAGCTGGGCATTCTATCTCATTCTCATTTGTCCGCACCCTCTGCCATTCCTAGCTCCATGTTTAGGATGTGCTCTTACCCTATCCCTGCCCAGGGCTGATTCCCCTCTTCGGCCTTCAGGTGTTAACCTGCCCCTTGCCCTCATGTCGGCTTCCATCAGCGGGCCCCTCACTGTTTTGCACCTTCGACCTCTCCAGTGACCCCGTCCTTCCAGCAACAAAAAAGCGAGCACCTAAGGAGACGTCCACTTCTGAGAAGATGGAGTCAATATCCTTTTCCTGTTCCCTTCTCTAAGTACAACTAAAAACCCAGGACGTTATAGATAAGACAAACATAGGAAGACTGAAAGGTGGAGAGAGGAAGAAAGACTGATTACAGATCACAGGACTAGAGGAAGTACACAGTGGTGAGTTACCTGGGTTTTCGTCTTCCCTTATATATACCAAAATTGGAGCTGAAGAAGCCAGCAACCAGGAAACACCAACAGGGAAGGAGGCAAAAAGCCCTGCTAGGGCTGCCGTAACAAAATACCACAGATTGGATGGCTTTGGTATTGGGATATGCTTATCTCATAGAGGTGAGGTAGAAACTGTTCCTTCCTCTTTGATTTTTTAAAAGAGTTTAAGAAGGATTGGTGTTAATTCTTCTTTATATGTTTGATAAAACTCACCACTTAAGCCACAGGGTCCAGGACTTTTCTCGGTTCAGAGATTTTTGATTACTCATTCAATCTCTGAACAAGCGTTATCTGAATACCAAAGCTAGATGAAGAGACAAGAAAACTACAAACCCATATTCCTTATGAGTATTTATTCAAAAATCCTCAACAAAACACGAATAAATCAAATTCAGGAGCATATTAAAAGGAGTATGTATATACCATGACCAAGTGGGATTTATTCCTGGAATACAGCTATGGTTCAACACCTACAAAACTCAATCGACATAATATACCATTCAGGAACTACAGCTACAGTGTCAATAAATCATTACAGGCTTTTCTGCTTCGTATGCGCTTCTTCCACATTTTGTATTCTCATCAGCATGTGACCCGTTCTGACTAAATGGATCAGCTGAGATTGAATTGACTCATGTATTTCAGCAAAAGCGTGAGGATGTGTGTGCGGATGGATGGACCTCTCATTCACAGCTGACGGAGGTGCGTGAATACTTGCTCCCTCTCTAGAGGGTGTCTTTCTCTAACTATATTTTAGATCTTAAAATTGTTCATATCTTTTGACCCAGGAATTTCATTTCTAGATATGACCCTAAAGAACTAATCAGGCATAATGCATGCAAGAATATTCAATGTTCTACCAGCATTCATACTGAAAAGTGAGAGAGAGCTGAACCGCCTAACAGTATGTGTGTGGCTAAATCAATTATGGTAAACCTGTGTGACTAACTGTATGTGGTTATTACAAATTATTCTAGAGAACTGGAATGATATAGGGAAGTACAATGCCGTGCTAAGTGAGAAAAATGGAAAACAATTTGATTTCAATTTCACCCAAAAAACCTAGAAGGAAATACTTCAAGTTATAAGTGGTTCTTGCTGAGTTGTCTTATTGATTGGGGGGTGAAGTTTGTTTTTATTTTTGAGGTAGTTCTCTAAGTTTTTGTTAGTAACTCTATATTTCCTTTCTAATGGTTTTCATTTATTATGAACTATTTCAAACATTCAAAAAATAGAAAGAAATGAGCAGATATACATTAGGTCTCTACCTCATACAATAAAAAAAAATAATTCCAGATTAATTAATTAGTTCCAGATTAATTAATTAATTCCAGACAGTGGAATGGAGAGACGTTGGTAAGAGAATATAGAAGAGCCTGTCTGATCTCAAGGTGAAGACCTCAACTGCTGACCTCTTTAGCAAAACATGTGCTGTTTCAATATTCCCGTCTAACAAGCCAGCCCAAAACTCAGTGGCTTAAAGCAGCAACCAGCTTTCCCTGTTGACAATTCTGCAGTTGAGCAGTTAAGTCTGGGCTTAGTGGGGCAGGCCTTTAGGTCTTAGCTGGGCTCATTCGTGTAACTGTGGCCGGCTGTCAGGTTAGCTGGGGACTGGGTCAGAGGGTGTCTGGGCCACATGTCTATGGTCCAGGAGGCTAGCTTGAGCTCATGTACCTGGCAGCTGGCAGAGTTCCAGGCCTCTGAGCTCAGAGCTCCCACAGCCTCACTCCCACTGCATTCCCTTGGCCAAAGCAGGTACTGAGAGTCCAGTAGGGTAGCGATAGTACTACCTCCTGCCTGGAGGAGCTGTACAGACATTGCACGGATGCAGGAACGCAGGGAGTGGAAAGATTGCGCCATCTGTGCAATCGACCATAAAGTATACAATGCACAAACCATAAAGGAAAAGATTGATAGTCTGAATACATAAGAATTAAAACTTCTAAAAAAAAAAGAAGAATTAAAACTTCTGCATGAAAAATGACACCATATATGTATTACTCTTATAATCATAAAACAAAGTTAAAATAAAGATTTCAGGATACTGCACATTATTTTTTTTATAAAAGCCCTGAAGAAAGTATCTATGTAAAAATCTGAACTTCCAAAGTGGGGGAATTATTAGAGCAATAATTTCACTATAGTTGGACGCTTTCTCCTCAGACAGGCGTATTACAAGACTCAAATAGTAAAGCCCACCTCCTGCATTTGAAAAGGAATTCCATCCACAGAAATTCTTATTACACATCTTATTACATGGTACAATAAATTGTGTCTATTTAAACTGTAAGTGCTGCCTTAGCTGGTTTGGCCCAGTGGATAGAGCATCGGCCTGAGGACTAAAGGATTCCAGGTTCAATTCTGGCCAAGGGCACATGCCCGGGTTGCTAGCTCGATCCCCAGTAGGGGGCTGCAGGAGGCAGCCAATCAATGATTCTCTCTCATCATTGATGTTTCTATCTCTCCTTCTCCCTTCCTCTCTGAAGTCAATAAAAAAGTATATTTTTAAATAAATAAATGATAAAATTATAAGTGCTTCTTCATCTTAATTTTTCTCATTCCAGGAGGATTATCGAATCAATCACCAGAACCTTGGAGGTCTCCTGCTAAAGAAGCAGGAACATTGAGGGGCTTGAACTTTCCTGTCTTCAGAGAGAGTGAGTAGGAAGAGACTGGGTCTAAGCACAGACTGAGGGACCTACACTTTTTCTTTTTCGAGCCGGGGCTCAAAAATCCAACCTTTGCCTTTTGTGTGACTCTGGAAGTGCCCGAAACACCAGCCCCCGTGGCCCCCTCCAAGGCCAAGCGTGAACAGTTTGGGTCAGACCATGAGTTACCCAAGTGGCTCATGGCCCATCACAGTGTGAGCAGAGGGTGTTGCGGTGTCTCCAGGACGTGATCACAAATGCAGCCCTGAGCAGCAACAAGCCTGAAAGCAACCTTTCAGCTGAGAGCAGCAGCCCTGGGTCCTTCCTGGCTTGTACCCATAGATGAAAAAGAAAGGGAGTACCAGAGATCGAGTGAGGGGCTGGGAGTGGGGGGCACAGAATTCTCTGGGTGCCTCCACTCATTTGCCCATCCTTCAGACCCACCACACTGGCCAGCATCCTGGAAAGAGCCCCTCATGTAAATAACACACGGGTAGTGAGTGAGTCACCTCTGTCTTTGAAGGACCGACCAAGGTGAGAGCTGAGAGCTGATGTAATCTCTTCACCCAGCTTCCTGCCCAAGTGGCTAGAACACCCATCACGACCCTTGCTGTCTGCTGGCCCAACTCTGCAAGGGGGAGGGGGCGGCAGCATGGTACCCCACCTACATATGTCAGGGCCCTGCTTAGATCCCTGGGGCGTTGCTTGATGATAAACATGGCGATTTTGCCTTTACAATTATTTACCTGCACCTCCAAGGGCCACAGGAAGGGTTCACAAACACTTGGTTTCTCACAGAAACGCTCTGCAAAGGGGCAGGGGAGGGTCTCTTTCCCTTTTAGCCACCAGGAAAGTTCAGGTTTTAATCTACCCTTCACGCGGGGGAGGGCAAGGCCCCAGGACCTGGGAAGCACGGGCCTCCCTTCCCCAGTTTGGGGGGAGACTCCAGCCGGCTACCCTAGGAACGTGCAGAAGGAAGTGACTGAGGAACAGTGGCCAAGAGGAGGGCAGTGTGTTCATGACCTGGGAGATGGGAACAGCTCTCCTGGGGGGCGGGGGGAAGGGGGCAGGTGCCTCTGGTTTGCTTTGAGTTGATGGTATAGCAAGGAGCGTGGCAGAGGCAGGTCGGTGTCATTTCTGTGAACACTGCCTCCAGTTGCCATGGTGTCCACAGATGCTGAGATGCTCCTGTGGCAGCTCAGTGCACAGGAAGTGCCTGACCATGTGTGAAACCGACCCTTATCTCAGGTCTAATCTCAGAAGGGCCACTGCATGGGCCCCGGGAGGTCTCTTCCTGTGGGCTCAGACTCCCCTTGGGGGGCCCCCTTTTGACACCTACGCCATCCCACCTCTGCGTGGAGTGCAGTCATTTCCCGCAACAGAAAATTTCCAGAAAATTGCTTCTGAAGTACCCCATCCCCCCAGGCATGCAGGCAGGTGAGCGGCCAGGAGCCAGCGGTCCTGGATTGCAAGAGGGATGTCTGACTTTGCTTTGGCTTTATTTTGTTGGTTCTGTTTGCTTTTAATAGCTCTTTGCACAAATGTATTAGCCTGAATGGGGTCTTGGTACCCCATCCCCCCACCTCAAATCATGGGTGTCATGGAGACGACAGTGACCTGAGGGGGAGGAAACTTTATCTCTGGAAGAGCAGGGGAGCCCCCACGGTGACTGTGGAATTCAGTCTGTTGTACCCAGAAACCTCTCCCCCAAGAAAAATGATGCTGACTCAGCTGCTGAGAGACTCAGAGACTCCAAGAGGGCTGGGACACTATGACTGAATAAAAGAGCATGTGTTCTGCCCTGGCCAGTTTGGTTCAGTGGATAGAGCGCCTGCCGCGGACTGAAGGATCCCGGGTTCAATTCCGACCAAGGGCACATGCCCAGGTTGGGGGCTTGATCCCCAGTAGGGGGTGTGCAAGGTGGCAGCCGATCAATGTTTCTCTCTCATCATTGATGTTTCTATCTCCCTCTCCCTCTCTGAGATATATATTAAAAAAAGAGAGCATGTGTTCAGGAACCATCACTAGGTCCTTGTGAATTTTGTATGGTTTCAAGGCCCCATGCGAACAGCCCTTGCATGAAGTCTGCCTGCGTTCCTCCATCCCCAGCTGCCTCCGATCTTGCCCACCTCCCAGCACTTCCCAGCCCAGAGCCTGGGTTGGCTTCTTCTGTGGCACCCTCATACCAACTGAAACACTGAATGACTGCAACACTTTAAAATGTTCTGACTTCAGGAGCAAGAAGTGGTCACTACAGAACAACCAAAAAAAGCACAAAGAAGAAAATTTTTAACAAGAAGAATGAACCAGACTGAATGTATTTCCCTGCCTTCTACAACACCCTTTTGGTGCTTCTGGACCATGGTTGACTTGAGGCAGCAGAGCACAGTGATGAAAAGTGTGGCTCTGGAGTTGGACCGCCTGAGTTGAAAGGCTCGGTGACCTTCAGCAAATCAGTTAACTTCTCTGAGCCTCAGTTTCCTTATCTGTAGAGGAGGGATATCCCTCATGGGTTTGTTGTGAATACAAATGTATCTAAAGCACTTAAACAGTGCCTGGCCCATGGAAGCACTATATTAGCATCCACCATGTTCTTGATTTGTTCACAGTCTCATGGAGTTGAGCGTATAAAGGTCAAGGTTACTACTCTAAGTATCGCTGCATTGACCATCATGGTGTACTGTGTGTGTGTGGTTTTTTTTTTTTTAAGGATAAATGGAACTTCTGCACATTTTTAAGGTTTTTATGTGTATGTCAAGTGCCTTTCTATTGACATGGAACCAGTTTTAAAATCACTAGTGCGTGTGACAACGGTGCCCATCGACAAGGAACGACGGAACATTTTGAGGCAGAGGAAGACCTACCAGGTCATAGAAGGCTCAGCAGTGTCCTACTCATCCACCTATTACTACTCTAGATAGTATTGGGCTCTACGTCAAACCAAGACCTCATTCAGGCTAATACATTTGTGCAAAGAGCTATTAAAAGCAAACAGAGCCAACAAAACAAAGCCAAAGCAAAGGGTTTTGTTTTTTTTCCATTGAAAGTGGGAAATGCATGGAGTCGTCTATGCTTTTTAATATTAATTGTATTAGGTGGAAGTCGAAACAGATGTCATATTCCCCCCCACAAATCCAATAAACACCAGAGTTCTGTTGTTTTAAAACAGGCAAAAACACTCCAGCGGCTCTCAAACCAACAAAGGAACAAATGTCACAATATATACTGCTTTGCAAAGTGCTGTCGAAAGCAGAACTAGAATGTTCATTCCTGACATCTCTGAGTGGCTGGCCCAGAAGCGAGTGATGGCACTGCGGTGGGCAGCAGGCGGAAGTGCACTGGAAGCTGAGTGGACAGAACGTGCAAAGTGTGACTTAAATCCCCAATTTTAAGGAAGTAGGTGGAGAGGAGCAATTTCTAGAATAGAAACCCTTCCTATCAACGTGTCAGGGATAAAACCAAACTCACAACAAGCACAAAGAAGAAAATAAGCATTATTTGCTATCTCTTCCCTCACTGGTCACACTCATTAATTTGAATATGTGTTTTACATTATTGAAATCATGTGATACATACAGTTTTATATTCCTTTTTTCACTATGACATCAAAAAATTATCTCACATCATTAAAAATTGCCCACAAACATCACTTTTAAGAACTATAAAGTATTTGTAGATGATACCATAATTTTCTTATTTCTTTATTGGTAGATATTTTCCCCAATTTTTCTTTTTTTTTTATTGATTTCAGGGAGAGGAAGGGAGAGAGAGAGAGAGAGAGAGAGAGAGAGAGAGAGAGAGAGAGAGAGAAACATCAATGATGAGAGAGAATCACCCATTGATCAGCTACTTCCTGCACCCCCCCGCCCACACACACACTGAGGACCGAGCCCGCAACCCAGGCATGTGCCCCAACTGGGACTAGAACTGGTGACCTTCTTGTTCATGGGTTGATGCTCAACTACTGAGCCACACCAGCCAGACCCCAATTTTCAATATTATAAATAATACAACAATAAAACCACTGTGTATGCTATCTATGTTTTCCAGAGATATACTTCTCTCTTAACTTTTCCTTGTAAACACCCAGAAATAACTATGGCAAATTTTGGAAAAGAGAAAACACTCATATTGTTATGAAAATAGGGGTTAATGGGCTGGTAAAAGGCAAAAATATTATATTATAACATATCACATTATTAGAATATAATTTTTCCCACAAACTTGAGGATATTTGAATCATTTAATTATTTCCCAAATTATCTACAATGAATATATATTACTTTATAACCAAGAAAACGACAAAAAGAGGGTAATTTGTGAAAAAAAATTCAGGAAGTGTCACTTCAGGTTGGCCAACATATGTGTAATAGGAGTTTCAAAAAAGAAGAGGAGTGAAAATGGAGAAGAGAACATTATCAAAGAAATACTAGAAAAAGATTCTCCCAGGGCTGAAGAAAGACAAAAGGATTAGTCTGAAAGATCCCGAGTACCTGGTACAATAAACAAAGAATAATTCATAGAAGCAACCTCATGGAATTTCAGAGTTCTGATAATAAAAAGAGATCCTAAACACTCAGTGAGAGACAAGAAACAGATAACCAACTAGAGACCAAGAGGGACATCGCCGTCATTCTTCTCATCAGCAACACCGAGGCTTGAAGACAATGGAGCAACTACCTTCAAAGTCCATAGAAATAATTTTGTACCTAGAATTTGATACCTTGTGAAACGATGTCATGCAGGAACTTGGATTCCCATACAGTTTCTGGAAATAAAATTACTTGATGATGTACTACCCAAGCAAGAAAAGAATATGAGAATTAAAACCAATTAAACCAGCCTCGAAATGCAATTTAATGAAACTCCAGTATAATGTGCAGTTGGCCTACCCAAAGGTCTGTATATTTGGAACAAATAAATGATATAATTCAAGAGCTGGAAGGTATTTGTAATATTATAAAGAAGATACATGCTTCTTTGTCAATCAACTAAAAATTCCAGAAAATGATGTTATGAACACACACACACACACACACACACACACACACACACACACAATCATGGCCCAAATATAAAACCAACCAAAACGTATGATTTTGTACAGTCGATGGAGCCTAAGAAAAGAAGACCCACTTGGCCTTGACATTGGAACACTCCCCCCTACAGATCCCAACATAATACCTGCTTCTGTAGAGACTAATATTTACAATATCTGTACTTTAAATACAGCCTGTTCGTTGGCTTTAAATGATCAGACTTAACTGACAGAACATGGAGAACAAATTTACTAAACAGAAGGCATGTGCTGGAAGCCTTGGCAACATTACAGAGGTGGTACAGCTGAGAGAGGGTGAGGAGTAGATGGGAGAGAAACAGTGGACAGAAGAAAAGGGGTATTAATTTTCCACCTTACATAGAGGGGAACCAAGAGTTACCACCAACAATTAGTGGGTCAATAAACAGAAATTGAATATTCTGTAAAATCATAAGGTTAACCATCAGAAGAAATAAAAATACACAGCTATCCATGATTTGCAGGTGGGAGAAGGGGATCTGTAAGTGAATAAGTTTCTCACCTATTGCAGCTAAAAGTTCTTCGATAGTACTTGGAGCTGATAATTGAAGATGTAGGTGCAGTATGCTACTTAGCACTATCAAGATAAATACCAGAAGAAATAGAAACAGAAACAATCAAATGAAGAAACCTATTAGGAGGAAACTACGAAAAGAATGGAAAAGAAGACTTACTTTTATGGTGTCCTATGTGTTTTTAATGTTTATTTCCAGGCAACTATATTTTAATAATTAAAAAGCAAAATAAGAAAAATACCAAAGGATTTTAAAGTAGCAGATATGCATCAGGTCAAAAAGATAGAGTAGGTGTTTTTTTCCCTCTGTTTTCTAATGATACTGCATGTAATATGGTATTTGTTATTGCCATAATGGAAAAATTCATAAAGAAAAGAGAGAAATAATTAATGCATTATTTTTATCACATCATAGAAGTTGTAGAAAATGGGGATGACGAGGCAAAGAAATGCATCTAAAATATCTGTGGGAGGATTCTACAATGGTCATAAAGGCCAGGCCAGCTGTGTGATCTTGGCTAAGTCACTTAGCTCCTCTGGTCTCGGTTTCCACCCCTGAAACACTGAGGAGTTGCCTTTAGAATTTCTCAGGCCAAGTTCAGCTCCAAGAATGTATGAATCTCTGAATTTCCAGCAACTGTGAGCATTGCCATTGAGATCAGTGACCCAGGCAATCTTGACTACAAAACAACTGGGTCCTCTTTTCTGTTGTTGAGGGGTTATTTCCTCTTGGAAGTTGAAGCTGGGAGGGGCTGCAAACTTCATGTTTTTCTAACAGAATTGCAGTTGTTTGCTCCAACAACAAGTACAAGGTCCACATAGATTATTTGCCCTGGTGTGCGCTCAGAAAAAGGCCAAAGGATATGCCCCAGTGAGGACCAAGGATGTACCCCAGGTCCGCCCCAAGCCCTCGAAGAAACCTGTCATCATTGGGGCTGTTGCTGTTTTACAAAAAAAAAAAAAAAAAAAAGCAGTAAGTGTGTTGAAAGCCATAACCACAATAAAACTGCCACATCAATCCGGGAGGTATTTTTTTACTAATAAACACAGGAAATCACACACCACCAAGACCCGGCTAGAACCAGATCCCGCTGCCTGTGGGGTTCACCATCTCTCTAAGTCTTGGCATTTCATCCACATTGAAGTTCTGCCTCTAGGAGGTTATTTACAACAGCAACAAAACAGAAATGAAAACAGAAAGTTTGTGGTGAGATCAAGTAACAGATGGCAATTCATTTGCTCGTTGTAATACAGTGTCTGAAATTGTCGGGTCATGTTTTGAACACTGAGGGGCAGTATCTAAGGAATATCCACAGGTCGGTGGTAGATTCTATACTCTTGCCATAGGAAGTGGTCTCCAGAGCAGCGGCATCCCAGGAAGCTTTCACATGTACAGAAGTTTAGGCCCCAAACAGACCTGCCTAATTAGACATGGCTTTTTACCAAAATCTCCAGGTGACACGTTTGGGCAATAAAGTTTGAGAGATGCTGGTTTACAAGACCTGTGATGTCCACACACCTCCCCACATCAAAAACTGAGGATTTAACTGTACACAAGGTCAAGTGCCTAAGTCCACAAGAAAGATGGTTGTTGTTGTTGTTGTTATTCTTATTATTCCTCCCATGTACAGATGAGGAAACTCAGGGCACTTCCGCAGGACTGGGCTACCAGGAGCTTGCAGAGGAGGCTTAGAGAAGTTAGAAACTTGCTCAAGGTCATAGGTAGCAAAGGGCAGAATTGGGATTTGAAACAAGATCCTTTTGAAGCCCAGACTCGTATTCTTAGCCATTACTTTCCGTTGCCTCGCTAGAGTTGACTGTTTTCAAGGGACTCCAGCAGGCTGATATACAGGCTGCCACCAATGAATTCAGTCGGTAGCATGTCAAGAACCGTTTTCCAGAAGATCATCCTTAGGAGACATCCTCAGTAAACTTCTTTCTCACCCCTCCCCTGACCATCAGGGGCAGATATGGATGTTCTGGAAGGGATCCTGCCCAGAGTTTTGTACTAGAGAGTGTGACCCCTCTAGGCAACTGAGTCTGAGTTAGCCAGCCCTAGAAACAAAGCCTAAGAAACGCCTGTGTTTAAAAACAGAAGGCAAAGCTTCCGGGAAGGATGGCCTATTTTATACCTTACAGTTTCAGAATGACTGCGGGCCCCTTCACCTACCTCCTGTGGGCTAAACACCATCATCTACCCTTTGACACTCTTGGGTCTAGAGACAGAAGGGGAAGGAGTAGAGGCAATTGCAGCTGGCAGGAACCTTAATTTTCAAGAACCTAGGTCAAGGTTCCCCGAGCCCCTCATGGTATGACTTGGGGACATGAGGGTTCTCTAGAAAGTCATGCATGCTTTTCCTGGGAGTGGGGGGTGAGAGAAGTGGGAGGACCCAACAGCGACCTTCTCAGCAGTCCATTCTTCAGCCCCACTTCCTTGGTAACACCAAATGGGGTTCATCTTCTCTATTGGCAAGAACTAGATTCGGCTGCAAAAAATAGAAATGATGATCATGATGATTGTGATGATGGCTTAAATCAATGCTCTTCAAATCATCATGTGCTTGTGAATCATCTGTGAACCTTGTTGAAGTACAGATTCTGATTCAAAAGGTCCGGGGCAGGCCCTGAAGTTCAGCATTCCTCACAAGCTCCTAGGGGTGCCTGTGTTGCTGGACCACAAAGCACAGAGAAGTGAGGGCTTCCACAAGGCACAAGCTCATTCCTCACTTAGGTACAGAGCCCCCGGAGGCTGACCCTCCAGCTCTAGGGCACCATAGCAGCATCAGAGGCTCCAACTCTGAGCTCTCTGTTCTTCCCTCTTCAGCACGTGGCTTCCATCCTTAAGCTCACCTAGGAGTCCAAGAAGGATCGTGGAGACCCAGCCCACCCAGCCATGCTGCAAACCTGCAGAAGAGTTGCTACTAACCAAACCAGCTCCTCTGAAAGAAGGTATGCGGTCCTTCTGCTTTGTCCCTTAGCCACTCCTAACCTTCATAGGAGGGGAGAATGGGGGCTGATGGGCAATTAGGATGTCTGCGCATCTCTTCATCCCACCCATCTTTCCATCATTTTGAAACTTTAGAGGAATACAACCTTGGTGGCCCCTCTTTTCCAGAAATTACTCTGGGGAAGAAGAAGCTGGGCCCCACTGTGCATTGTCTGGGTGACTATGAGCCATGGGTAGGAGCCAGTGAGAATAAATGAAAACATGCTGACAGCAGGGCAACAGAGAAGATGAATCCAGCGGAGTGGTCTGAAATCTGCTAGAGTCAGGCAGAAAAGTAAAAGACCATGGGCAGACCTTGTGTCCCACATTTGAAAACTGTCTTTGGTCTTGCTTCTGATGCTTAAGTTCTACTTTATACCCCCATGGGCCTGACAGCCTCTTTTAGTCTCCTTGGACCACAAGTCCTTTCTGCCATGTTCCAGCTGGACTCTTCCCACTTTCCCTCCATACCCGGAAGTGCTCCAGGCAAAGCCTGGAGCCTCGCTTTTGGCTCATGCCACTAGCACCTGATCTTACCCCTTCTGGGGTCCCTTCTCATGCTTTGACTAGAACCTCCAGTGCTAAAACCTGCCAGAATCATCAGAAGTGGCTGCAGCCAATTCCTTAACGCTTTAGGTATTTTTTTCTATGTCCAATGCCCCCTTGACTGAAACTGCCTAGCATGCAGCCCCCAACCCACCTATCCACCTACCTAGGGAAAGCAGTTCTGGGATAACTTTTGGACAGGGGTGACCACAGAGGGGACCAGGAGTGGACACCCTACTATAGATTGCTAGTGGCTTATGACATGGTCTGATGCAAAGGGAACTGAGAAAACTAAGATGGTAACATTAATTGAGCCAATCAGAGTCCCTCACCAGGGAATTTAACATGAAGTTACAGGATAGAAAGAGGCAGTCATGGTTGCCACTGAGTCAGATTAAGGATGCCTCAAACTCCCATTGATGATGTCCCCACCTCTCAACACCACTGAGCTTGGAATTTCCAACCTGGTGTTATTCATTCTGCTTGTTATCTAGGAACTCCACAGATTCAGACAAACACAGTTGACATCCTTTTCTGTTCATCTAGTGAAAATGATCTGTGACATCTTGCGATGTGTACAGTTAATGCTGTGCGAGTTTCTGGTTTTGATGCCTGCCCTGCTGTAGTAATATGTGTCCCTTCCTGGCTGAAACTGCCCTTCCCACAGGTATTCTCTGTGCTAAGGTGGTCACTGATTGGGCCAAAGGAGTCCAACCATAGGCTTTCCAGTTGCTGCTGACTCGTGTTTTCCTAAAGGTAACAGTGGCTCAGCTGCCATGGTCAAACCCCAATAACATGGTTAAAACAAATCTGTGTTTACTTTTTTCTCTTGGGGAAGTCTTTGCTAGTCTGGCAGCTCTATTCAGCAAAGGTGTCAGGGACCCAGGCACTTTCTATCTTGTTGCTCTCCCAACTCTATAGTTTTGTCCTCATCTTCACTGTCCAAGATGGCTTGCATCATCTGCATTCCAGTACGTAGGAAAGGAAAAAGGACCCTGGAGGACATGCCCCTCCCCTTTAAACCTGGAAGTTGCACAGATAACTTGCACTCGCATCCCATTGACCAAAACATGAGCATATGGCCTCACCCAGGTGCAAGGAAGGCTGGGAAATGTTAGTCCTATACTAGTCAGCTATGTGCCTAGTTAAAAATCAGGGTTCATATAAAATAGGGTTACAGTTGTGAGTACACAAAACACAGAATTTATTATTTATTAATTATTGTATTATTTTCCATACAAACAACCATAAAACTACTTTTGCCCCACCCTGTATCTGTGCCTCGCTAAAAATTGGAAGTTCTATTATTTTGAAAGAGAATGAATAGGAGGTGGCATGTCCAGTTTTGGCTGGTCGGACCAGCTCCGTCTGGAGTCTGGGGCCGGAGAAACTAGACATGATTACTTATTGAGAGTAAGAGGAGATGGAGGGTGACAGGCCGAAAGAGTCACAGCCATGAGGCTCATGAAAGAATTCAAGAACATGGATGCACCCCAAACCACCTGTGACACCAGGCAGCTCCCACTCCTGCTCCCTGCTCTCCCACAAGGGGTCCTCTTGGAAAACTCCCTTCTCTTAAGGAGCGCGAGACACTCAGAAGTCTTTGCTGCAGGTCCAGGACAGTCCTGTTGTAGGTGAGGTTTGAACAGTGTTTCAACAATGGTCCCATTCTCCAGATGAGATAACTAAACCCTAGGTGCTTCATCATCTGTCCTCAGGCAAAGGAGAAAACTGCATGAGAATCTGCTGCTTCAGCTTCTTGATCAGAGATGAAAACAAGCCATCGGTACACGTACACGATGCTATCTGGCTTCCTCTGTGTGGAAGGTGCTGATAGAAATCAAGAGGGTCCTGTTTGCCAAGACCACAAGTTCCGGGTAAGTCAGCGTAGAAATACATCAATAAATGAGATGGGAAGCTGGGTATATAAACGGACACTGAACACCTGACACACAGGCCTCACTGAGGCCCCGAATGTGTGAGGTCTTTGTGGAGACCACTGAGCAGTTAGCCACAGTGCACACACTAGGGCAGGGGCCCTCAAACTACGGCCCGTGGGCCACATGCAAATACAAATATTGTATTTGTTCCCGTTTTGTTTTTTTACTTCAAAATAAGATATGTGCAGTGTGCACAGGAATTTGTTCACAGCTTTTTTTTTTAACTATAGTCCGGCCCTCCAACGGTCTGAGGGACAGTGAACTGGCCCCCTGTTTAAAATTTTGAGGACCCCTGCACTAGGGCCTGAGGACAGGTGGGAAAGGAGAGTGCGGTCAGGACCTGGGCCCCAGCTAGCGCCAAGGGGGACAGGATTAGTCTCAGGTCCTGAGGGCAGAAGTCCTTCTCAGAAGGCAGAAATAGTTCCTGAAGAGGATGGCCAGTATGATACCTTGCCTGACAATATAACTTTCAAAAATAAGACACCCAAGTCACTTCTCAGGCCTTAATTGATTTGCAATATGCCTGATCTGGCAGTGGGCAAGTCCAGAGGTCATAGGCAACCCGCAGCCCCAAGCGTGGGTGTCTGCCAGACAGGCTGGCCACAGGCCAACTGCACTGGAATTCTGAGGTCTCTGTTTGGGCCTGGAAGGTCCTTGGGTTTGGATTCAGACACACTGGGCAGCATGGAGAGGACACAATGGGTGACCATGGTCCATATCAGCAAGCATCGGGGGCTCCAGCAGCACAGGGTTCCCACAAAGAGTGAAAGTTTGGTCCTGTTCAGCAACTACTGACTACTGTTGATGGTGAAAAAATTAAGCAGATACTTAACTCTCACCAGCATGAGCGAAAAGGGGAATCTGTGGGCTGCATAAACAAACCGCGCAAAGTACAGCGGTACAGCTGGACCCAGGGACGGCCAGATTCAGAGATTCAGCTGTTATCCAGACTTCTTCCCCAGGTTGGGCTGCTATCAAAAATACCACAGACTTGGTGGCTTAAACAGCAGGCATTTCTTTCTCACAGCTCTGGAGGCCAGGAAGCCTAAGATGAAGAAACTAGCATGTTAGTGTGTGGGGAGAGCCAGCTGCCTGGCTTGTAGAAGGCCACCTTCTTGCTGTGTCCTCTCCTGGTCTCCTCTCTGTGTGAGTGCACATGGGAAGAGAGCGTGAGCTCTGGTGTCTCTTCCTCTTCCTAGAAGTGTGCTAATCCCATCATGGGGGCCCCAGCCTCTTGACCTCATCCAAACCTAACTACCTCCCAAAGGCCCCACCTCCTAATACAGTCACATTGGGGTTAGGACTTCAACATCTGAATTTGGTGAGGGAGGGGTATGGGATATAACCATTCAGTCCATGACAACTTATGTCTCTGATTTTTTTTGCATTTTGAATTCATTCTCACAATGTAGCTTTCCCCCCCATGGCAAAAGCCATGAGTGCATGCAGCTTTGGACCTAAATACTAGCGAGGAGAGAGAGTGTCCTCATCAACTCTGGGTTGAAAAAAATGCCTCCAGCAAGTCTCTTAATTGGCTTTGCAAGCCACTTGCCTATTCCTGGACAATCACTTTGACCAAAAGGATGTGGCTACTCTGATTGGCCCAAGCAGGTCACTGATGGTTGGACTGGGAAGAAGCAGCTTGCCCCCCAAATGAGGAGTGCTGCTGGAGGCCTGCCCAGCAACAAATGCCCATTGCTAAGGGAGCTGAGGGCAAAAAGGATGAAGTGGGAGCTGTGCTGAGCTAGTGAGGGGCACTAATGGGGAATCTGTGAGAGATGCCTGGGGTGCCTAGAAATAATTCAGGGTATGTTTTTGTAAGGGGCTGAAAACCATGAAATGAAATAATGTCTTGTAAGCCAAAGAAATGCTCTTTATTACTATTAATATAGAGATTGGGGTGTTCTGGTACTGTGATGTGTACCATTGACTTTGAAATTCTTCAACACTGAAAGTGCTATCTAAGGGTGAGTCACTCCTTTTAATCCACACCCTAGAGGACTCCTGTCACCCTAACTATGGCAACTCCAATGGTGGTCATTAGAATTTAATCAGAAGGCCATTTGTGAGGCAATACCTCTTCTGGATGTCCACCCCCAAATTTTGAAAACATTTATTCATAGAGATATATGTACCCCTATGTTCATTTTAGCATTATTCATAGTAGCCAAAACATGGAAATAACCAAAGTGTCCTTCAATAGATGTTTGGATATATATAACAGAATACTACTCAGCCATAGGAAAGATAAAATATTGCCTTTTGCAACAACATGGATGGATCTTGAGAATATCATGCTAAGCAAAATAAATCAGACAGGAAAAGTCAAGAACCATATGATCTCACTCACATGTGGGATATAAAAGCAACAAATGAACAAACAAACAAAAACTTACATACACAGACAACAGTATGGTGATTACCCGAGAGTAAGAGGGGTAGAGTAGAAGAGGGAAAATGGGTCACATATATGGTGACAGAAGGAGAGTTGACTTTAGGTGGTAGGCACACAATGCAATATACAGATGATGTATCATAGAATTGTACATTTGAACCTATATAATCTTATTAACCATTGTCACCCCAATAAATTTAATAACATTTTATTTTTTTAATATTTTTATTGATTTCAAAGAGGAAGGGAGAGGAAGATGGAGGTAGAAACATCAATGATGAGAGAGAATCATTGATCAGCTACCTCCTGCAAGCCCTGTGGGCCTGAGCCCACAACCCAGGCATGTGCCCTGACTGGGAATCGAACCTCCACCTCCTGGTTCAGAGGTCTACACTCAACCATTGAGCCACGCTGACTGGGCTTAATAAAATTTTGCAAAGAAGAAGGCCATAGCCCAGAGGTACTCCCACAAGTGCTTCAGCTGTCTTTATCTCTGATCAATACCAGAGGTCCTGTTAATTAGCATAATGCATGGAGGAATGGGCTTTCATTGGTGAAACATGGAGAAACTCCCAATACATAGAAACAGGGTATTAGACTCTAGTGAGCCTTCCTCCTTCCCTCTTAGGAATGCTGCCCATGGCCTATATCCAGCTGCTGATTCCAGAGAATATGGGCCAGCCTGTGACTGATTGGATGGTGCGCCAATCCCACTATGAGAGTCTTGTCACATTTGCCCCCAGTGAAACTTTCTTTCATGCACAAAGCTCCCTACAGAAGAGTGTTTGGACTTTATCAAGCACGCAAGGCGGACTGATTGGTTTGCGCCTACTTGCTGATAAACATCTGTTTGGGGAAGAACTCAGCATGAGACTTGCTTGTCTGGGGACCTGGAGCAGGCTGCAGGGAGAAGCTTGCCCTTACTCCTGTAACTAGTGGTGGCTGCTGATAGTAACCAAAAGGAACCCCAGGGTTCTATGTGACCAAAGTGGGGAGTAGAAGGTGCCTTTGCAAGCCGAGGGGCTCATCAGTTTTCCTCAGAAAGATCTGTCATGCATTAGGTCTTAGGGTTCCAACTGGGGCAGGAGTCCAACCCCCAAAGATGGGGAAAAGCTGTTGGGTACAAGGCAGGACCTACTCAGAGTGAGACTGAGAAATGAACAGGTGTCCATGAGACAGAGAGGAGGCAACCCAAGAAATGAGGCAAAGGCCCAGTAGCCAGATATGGAGGATGACCTTGGGACCCAAGGATGACCTTGAATGTGGGCCTCAGAGTGTGTCACAGCCCTCTTAGAGACCTGGCGGAGGGGAACTTGAAGGGAGCTTAATGTTGGATGGGGGGTGGGGGGGGAAGGGGGCTGCAGAACTGAAACCAGGCCAAGGCTGGCAGCTCTCTACCCATCCAGGGCCACCCGGACTATCCCAAGGAAAAGCAAAGAGATTGGAACTCCTGATGCCTCACTCTAGCGACAGCTTTGAGTTATGAATCTTTCTCTGCACTGACCACCATGTTAAAGATCATTGCAAAGACTGTGGAGAAACATCTCTGTAGCTACTGGCATGAACGTTTCTTTGAGAAGTCTACTTTTCAAAGGGTGGAGAGGGAGTTTCCAGCCTCGACTTTGAGTGCCTCCTACATTTTCTGCAGAAGGAAGGGGCTTTTCTGGAAGGCAAAGGAGGGAGGAGGAGGGGGAGGGCTGGTGTCGAGGTCAAAAAGGCAAGGAAGAGAAGAGAGTTGCGCCCACAGCCCAGAGGAAGATCTCAACAAACCTGCTGAACACATATGTGTGAGGTTAACTGGCCCTTCCCCCAAAACCCCTGAAATCTTTAGCAAATTCCCCACTGCTCATTAATGCATGTGTACCTCCTACTCCCTATTTAGTCATGAGTAACCACACCGTTCCTGCTGGTTAATACCAACAACTGCCACTAGTTAAAGGACTTGAAAGTCACCTACCACCTGCTCCCTCCCTGCCCAATGCCCCTTAACCTCACTCCAGGTCACCTGAAGAGCAAGTCTCAGAATGAATTCTGCCACAAATACTGATATTTGTTAGTAACCAGGAAATCCTTTCAAGTGCAAGGAAATCGTTTGGGGCCACAGAGAGGTGGTGAGGATGAAAACAGAGACCTCAAGCGAAGATGAACATATCTTAGTGAGAACTGATGTAGATGGCTTTCTGCATATTTATTTATACACACCTAGTACTTCATCCCAAATCTTATTGGAGTCAGGGACTACTTATTTTGCTTTCACAATCGCATGTGACCTCACTCCCCAACCAGCAGGGGAGAAATATGATAAAACGTGAACAGCATACAAATGAGCCTTCTGCACTGTGAAACGTGAATGACTCTGTTCTGCGAAGGTGTAGATATTGAAGGTGTGACTATGGGATGTTGTACCTCCCAAACCAAGCATTTCCCCCCAAGGTGTCCAACAGGAAGATCTATAAGGAGATGTCCTGGAAGAGACACAAAGGGAGGAGCAGGCTTCATCTGCCCAGCTGCAGGGGCGAGAGGAGGTCCTATCCAGCTGCAGGGGCAGAGTGTCTGGCATCTGCACGGTACAACACACGGAAACCAGGTGTGCATCCGGTGCTGGGGTCCGGCCAGCCATACACCAAGAGATGCAGAACTCAGAACTCAAGAAAGAGGACCCCAACAACAGAGCCTTCCAAATTCAGGAAGATGGAGAGTGTGGGTAGAAGGGCACCTGGGACAACAGTAGGTTGGTTATAAGGCTGCAGCCACTAGAGTGAGATTTGGGAAGAGCAGAGGACTCCAGCTCTGAGCAGAAACTGAGGATAACAGGAGCAATAAGAGCAGGTTCTGGAGGGACTGAGCCCATGACAGGTAGAGGTTAGGGACGGAGAGTGAGAGAAAATCCCAGTTACCAAAAACCACGTCAGGTCAGGGCACACAGGCCATTCCTGAGGCTTAGGCCTGGTATGTTGAGCTAAATCTCTTTGAAGGCTCCTTCCTAAGGTCAGGGCTAATGCCAGAAACAGAAGGTTTTTCTTTTTTCTTTTTCTTTTTTATTGATTTCAGAGAGGAAGGGAGAGGGAGAGAGAAATAGAAACATCAATGGTGAGAGAGAATCATTGATCAGCTGCCTCCTGCACGCCCCACCCTGGGGATCGAGCCCGAAACCCAGGCATGTGCCCAGACCAAGAATCGAACCGTGACCTCCTGGTTTGTAGGTTGATGCTCAACCATTAGCCACTCTGGCCAGGCAGAAGGAGTGTTTTAATCAGGAGGCATGCAGCTGCAAGTAACCTGAACTAAACTAAAAGTGAAGCTGAACTAAAAGTGGCTTTAACGAGGAAATCATTGACTCACAAATGAAAAGACAGTAGAACAGGCCTACAGCTGACCAATACAGTGGCTCCAACTCCACTTTTTGCTGACTTTTTTTTTTACTCTGCCTATCATGGGACGGTGGCTTCATCTGTAGGCTTCATCCTGCCATGCTGGCCTTGGGTGTGGACAGAGTGACATTGCAGGGTCGGCTCCCTTTGGGGCTATGAACCATGTGGGCAGGGTAGACACCTGCACAAAATCATTCTTCTGTTAGGAAGAAGGAAGGGAACGATACCGAGGGCAGGATGAAGTGCAGGTGGGTGGCTGATTTGGGTTCTTCCTGCTGATCCTCTGACCAGCTGTGTGAGTTGGGGGAAGCCACTTCCGCTCTCGAGGCCGCCTATTTTTCATCTTATAACAAAAAGATTAATCTAGAGCAGTGATGGCGAACCTATGACACGCGTGTCAGAGGTGACACGCGAACTCATTTTTTGGTTGATTTTTCTTTGTTAAATGGCATTTAAATATATAAAACAAATATCAAAAATATAACTCTTTGTTTTACTATGGTTGCAAATATCAAAAAATTTCTGTATGTGACACGGCACCAGAGTTAAGTTAGGGTTTTTCAAAATGCTGGCACGCCGAGCTCAAAAGGTTCACCATCACTGATCTAGAGAATCTTTAAGGGGTCTTGGACTCTATGCAATGAGATGTTCACGGATTACTCAATGCGGGCCTTCGAGTGTGGGAAATGATTCTAGTCGTTTGTGGAAGATGGTACTTTCCAGAGAAGACCCCAGCAACTTCTCCATCCCACGCGCCCATCGGCAGTGGAACCTTGCCACTCCGCCATCAGGAGACGGAGTCTGATTCTCAGTCCCTGGCATCTGCGCCAGCCTGATGACTCGCCTGGACCCAGCGGGCCACAGTAGCTTATACCTATTAAACTATGGGAGAAGTGACACTGAAAAGGCCGTGCAGGCTCCAGTTGGTTCTCTCAGCACACCAGCTGCAGGAGAATCCAGCGCCATATAAGAAACCCAGCTACTCTGAGACGGCCTTGCTGGAGAGGCCGTGGGAAGGCGTTCATGTGGACAGCTCAGCTGAGCTTCCAGCCCAGCGCCAGCATCAGCTGCCCACAGTAAGTGTGCACCACCTTGGACCTCTAGCCCAGGCTGACCTTCAGTTGACTGAACCCTCAGCTGACATCATATTGCAGCTCCATGAGACATCCCACAGGTGGATAGTCCCGCTAAGCCCGTCCAGAATTCCTAACCCAGAATATCAAGAGCAAAAGAAGAGGATTGCTGCCCTAGCCGGTTTGGCTCAGTGGAGAGAGTGTTGGTCCTCAACTGAAGGGTCCCAGGTTTGATTCCGGTCAAGGGCATGTACCTTGGTTGCAGGCTCGATCCCCAGTGGAGGTTGTGCAGGAGGCAGCTGATCGACGTTTCTCTCTCATCGATGTTTCTAACTCTCTATCCCTCTCCCTTCCTCTCTGTAAAAATCAATAAAATACATTTTATATATATAAAAAAAAAAAGATGATTGCCATCCTTCACCCTTACGTTTCGGAGTGACTTGTTATGCATCAGTGGTAACCAGAATATCCTTAGAGTGGAGTGGGCATAAGTGAACCAGGAAAGATTTAGATAACTTCGAGAAGTTGTTTCTGATAGTTGCAAAGCATTGAAAATATTTTGATTCTTTTTTTGTGTGGCTACTTACGAAATCAGGAGGAGAGATTCTTTGAGGAATGACCTGGGGGAGTCTTGCCAGGAGGTCATAACAATGACCTTCTCATTTAGGCAGCCCTTTGGAGTTTGTGAAGGGCGAATGAACTCAGTTGAATGTCAGAACTAAGGGCTAGGGCACAATTCAAGCCCCATCTTTGTTCAGTCCTCCTCCTGGAATTCCTGGCCTTGCCCACCTGTTTTTCTTGGAGAGAGAACACTAATGGATGAGCAAAACCTCCCTTCAGTGAGCACCCGTATGTAATGGGCCAACTTCCTAATCCTCTCCACATTGTACCTTCACATGGGGACAGCAAAGAGGGCTGACTGGAGGCCTCTGAGCTACCAAGTTTCCTCGTTGGCCCTCCTGTGCTCCTCTGATGGTCTCAGGATCCCGCCCCAGCAGCCCCTAGTACAGCTGTTTTTAGCAGCTTCTGCCTTGACTCTTAGCAGTTGCACCTTTGATTAATGGTTTTTCTTGAAGTTATACAATCAAAACTTACGATGGCTCTGTGAGGTGGGCAGAGCAGATGTTATTAACACTATCGTGGTAGCCAGCCTTCGAGATGGCTCCCAATAGTTTGTACCTCCTGGTATTCACATCCTTCAACAGGTTGAGTTGGGTAACAAATGGGATAGTTTAACTTTGGAGGCTATGGTATTATCGAGTGTGGCTTCTGTCTTGCTCTCTCAGATTGCTTACTCTTGGAAAGGCCAGCTACCATGTCAGGAGGACCCTCAACCAGCCCCATGGAGAGACTCCTGCAAATAGCCTTGTGAGTGAGCTGTCAGGAAGCAGACCCTCCAGCCCCAGTCCAGCCTTCAGATGACTGGGGCCCCAGCAGACACCTTGACCTCATCTCATGAAAGATCATGAGCCAAAACCACACAACTGAGTTGCTCCTAAATGCCTGACCCAAGAAAACTGTTTAAGGTAATAAATGTTTATTATTTAAACTAAGTTTTATATATATTTGATTTCAGAGAGGAAAAGAGAGGGAGAGAGAGCTAGAAACATCAATGATGAGAGAAAATCATTATTCAGCTGCCTCCTGCACGCCCCCCACTGGGGATTGAGCCCACAACCCAGGCATGTGCCCTGACCAGGAATCTAACTATGATCTCCTGGTTCATAGGTTGATGCTCAACCTCTGAGCCAAGCCGGCCAGGCTAAACTACTTATTTTTAAAGGAATTTTAGAAAGAGTAATAAGTAATTACAATTGAGAAGCTGAGGCTCAGAGACATACAGTGACTAGCCCAAAGTGACACAGCAGGAACTGGGAAGAGCATCCTCATCTTGTGACTGCTGACTCATACAGACAGGTTCTGTTAGTTCATGACTCAGCAGTTCTCTAATTTAGCCCCAGAAGAGGGAGAGGTGAGGCTGTAGGCATGGAGCAATGACGGCCCAAGCAACCCTGCCACACTCAGGCCCCAGACCCACCAGCTCCTCCCCAGGAATCCAGGGCTAGGGAGAGCGGCTGAGACCCTTGGCTGCCATTTGCATGGGGCCTCCATGACGAGGAGAAACAAGCCAGCATCCCGACCTTCTCACCTGGACAGACCCCCACACACGTGTTCTGGGCCTCGGCCCTGACCACTAAGGATACAATTGCTGAGCCGCGATGCTGCAATCCTGCTGGGCTGTGGCACAGGTGTGTGTGTGTGGGGGAGCTAGGGCCTAAGATCCCCAACTCAGAGTCTGGCCTGGTCTCCAGTGCCCTCACTGCTGACTCCTGTGTCCTCTTTAGAGAAGTCACCCCAGTGAGGGGTGCTTTCAGTTCCCATGTGAATCACTGTCCACATGATCACCGGTCACCCTGCCGCAGGCTGTGCCTGTGGCCTACGTGAGCTCTCCGTGGTGACAGTGCGGGTTGGTGATGCGGTCCGCCTGAGGCAAGTCTATCTGGCTGTTTCTTCATCCTCCCAGCTAAATGGGACTTATTCCAGCAAGAGCCACTATGCTCCCCCCACCCCCAACCCCCTGGGTTTGGGCACATCAAGAGGGTGGTTTAAGACAAAGGGTAAGCAGTTCTTGCTTGTCTTCAGAGTCTCAAGTCCAGCTGTTGGCACTGTGGAGGGAGCAACAGATAGAGGCCTAAAGCAGGGGCTGGGATTGGCAGCAGGAAGCGGAGAAATGCTCACGGGATGGGTATAGGATGCGGCGGGGAGCAGCTCCTTGGCTGTGCAGACCTGTGGAAGGGAACAGGGAGAGACCTGAGGCGGTGACATTTCTTGATAAAGGACCTTGACAGCCCAGCGGAGGGTCTTATGCCTATGACCTTATGTGGCATTTAAGGACTTCCATAATAGAGGAGGAAAAAACCAGGTATAGGACACCTGGGTTCTAATCTAAACTCAAGATTCATCACTTGGATAACCTTGGAAAAGTTGTTGGCTGATCTGGACCTCGATTTCTTCATGAGTCAGGTCAAGCAAATGATATTCAGACTGGGTTCCCTGGGTTACCTAGGGTTCTGCAGACCTACCTTAGAGTTTGGCATTGGGAGGGAGCCTCTAAACCAGTGCTGTCCAATAGAAATATAAAGTGAGTCACACATACAATTTAAAAAATTTTTAGTGGCCACATTTTTAAAAATCTAAAAACAAATAGGTAGAATTAATATTAATAGTATCTTTCAACATATAACCAATTTATTGCGTTTATTAAGATATTTTATATTCCATGCTTTGTACTAATTTTTCAATATTTGGTGTATAATTTGTGCTTAAGCACAACTCAATTCTGACTAGCCACACTTCCTGTGCTCAATAACTGACCTGTGCAGAGAAGGCAATCAAGGCTTTAAGTAAGAGCAGAAGTCTCTCCCTGGTGGACAAAACGGAAAGTGCAGGAGAGACCAAAGGATTTAAATAAGTAAAACACCTGAAAGCACAGAGAAGACTGATGTGTGTGGGGGGGGGCGGGGGGGGGTGGGGGAGGAGGGGGTGCAGGTGGCTCAGTCCAGCCAGAGAGTAAAAGCAGGGGAAGGAGCGTATCAGAGAGGCCATGAACTCATTTGGTTTCCTCCAGCATCATGGGTTTTCATGACATCGAGTCAAGGTCTCAGTTCCTTGATTTAATGATCAAGTATAATGCGGGCACCTGTGAGGGCATCTGGGGAGAGCACGGGCCAATCAGAGACGTAGGTCACGGCCAAACTCCCGAGGGATTTGGGAGCGAGAACTGATGCAGACTCACTGCTGGGAAGAGAGGGAATGTGTCCCGGGAGATGGGGCACGGACAAGGGTGTGTTGAGCAGGGAAAACCTATTTGGACAATAATCCAGGCTGCAGAACCATCAAGGCAAAGAAGCCAGAGGCATTCAAGAGGCAAAATAGCGGAGGTGTTAGGAATAGACTCTGGAGCCAGGTTCGCTGCTTGCTGGCTGTGTGACTTCGGATAACTTACCTCCCAGGCCTCAGCGTCCTCATCTATACAATGGAGGCAATAATAGTTCCTGCCCCTTGTGCCTGCAGTGTGATGAGTTGTGTTTGTGACAATAGATTCTTTCTTTCCTAATAGCGTATGTCAAATGCTTAGAATGGAGATAAGAAAGTGCCATGGCTTGCCTATTATAATTACAGGGATTTCTTTAGAAGGACCACGAAGGAGCCAGCCTCGTCCCCAGTGAGTTGACATTCAAGTGCAATCATATGACAAGTCTGTTCTCTACTTGGAAATGGCAATATTGTTTCAATAGAGGGCAGTGGCCCACAGCGTATCTCTCTGGCGCCTTCAAATGGAAACTGCCAACACAGCCAGCTTCCTGACCTGGTGGGGACTCAGGACCACGGAGGTTCAGCCCTTGTGTTAGGGTTCCCTCTTTCCCCAGGGAAAATGTGGGTGTATCCGGATTCACAGTTCTCTCTTTTAACTTTGATGAATTCAATGATCTTCTCATTTAAAAAATAATAATAACAATGGCTTCGGTTCGTGGAGCCACCTCTAAGCGGCAGTCAATGACCAACATCCCATCTCCGCCATTCAAGTCTGCAAGGCCTTTGTCTCCCATTTCAAAGCTGAGGACCCTGAGGCTCAAATGTCATCAGAATTTGCCTAAATGACAGGATTCCCTGGAGCATAAAAATCTGAGCCCTGGGCAGTGGTGCTCAATCTTGCTGTACCTGGAATCATTGGGTGAGAAGGAGGTGGGGGGGTTGGGGAGGAGGGGAAAATCCTGGCAGGGCAGGCCTGCCCTCCAGGTCAATCAAACTGAAACCTCCCGCTGTGGGACCAAGACATCAGTGTTTTTAAACTTCCCGAGTGAGTTAGTGTGGAGCCCAGATTGAAAGCCACCCATTCGGAAGAGGTTGGTCTGGTTCCCAAACCTGACCAATCAATCCCCAGTATCATGCCTGGAACATTTTTGCACGGAATTGAATGGAATGTTCTCCTCACCATGGCCTGCTGCAATCATTGGTGGCCTGTGCCAAGAGGAATACGTATGTATGTTCTTGAAAACTCCAGTGTGCGTGCATTTAGTTTATGTAAGTGACACTGTGCCATCAAATATCATTTGGGATGCTTTTTTTTATGCAGCATGAAGTTGTTTTTAAATATATTTTTATTGATTTCAGAGAGGAAGGGAGAGATGGAGAGAGAGAGAGAGAGAGAGAGAGAGAGAGAAGAGAGAGAGAGAGAAACATCAATGATGAAAGAGAAACATTTTTCGGCCGCCTACTGGGAATCGAGCCTGCAACCAGGCATGTGCCCTTGACCGGAATCAAACCCGGTACCTTTCAGTCTGCAGGCCGATGCTCTAGCCACTGAGCCAAACCAGCCAGGGCAGCATGATGTTTTTTTGAGCTAGACCTCTTGCATCTGTAGTAAATGTACTTCTGACTTCTGCTTTGTCTTCCTGCGTGTCCACGTATCAACATTTTATGTGTCCGTTTCCTACTAACAGACACTCCAGATTTTGCCACCAACTACGCTGCCCTGAGCATCTTCCCGCTGTCTCCTGATGACCTTAGCCACGTTCCTCTGGGTGCGCAGCCTCAGAGTGGAGCTGCCCAATCAGAGGGAACGTGCAGCCTTAACTTGTCCCAACTTGTCTTCAGGACACTACACCAATTCACACTCCCACAAGCTCGCCTCCCAGGGCCTCCCTTTCCCCATCCTTGTCAGCCCTTGACATTCTCTGTGGTAGGTCCCCAGAAAGCAGCCAGGCGGAGAGATGTTATGAGACTTTTAAGAAATGTTATTGCGCTCTCCTCTCTCACAGTAGGCTGAGACCAGTGTGTGGGTGTCAGCCCCGAGGGGATGGTTGGGTTCTCTTATCTAGGGCGGAAGCATGCAACATAGGGTCAGGTTTCGGCAGCGCCAGACAGTCAAGCGGAGGGAATGGAGGGGAGGGCACGAGTGGGGCAAGGGAATTAAGGGAGGAGAGGTCACAGGTCAGTCAGGCGAAGGGGGATTCATCTTATCTTGCTTCTGAAGGCGCCAGCTGTCTGCCCCGAGCTATGGGAAAAGGCTTCTAACAAAACATATTTCAGAAAACATGTCCAAGTAGGAGAGATTAGGAGCTGTTCATCCTAACAATCTGACTTTCTAATTTTTGCCCAACACATGGGTTAAAAAATGACATCTGACAGCTTTAATTTGCATACACCCGAGCCTTCCAGACTTGAATTCACAACTATTCCATGACTTGCCTCTCGCTACCTCTGTAGTCACATCTGTCCCCACCATCTCTAACCCCTGGCAACTATGCCTGCTTTCCATGTCTATGGCTTTGTCATTTCAAGAGTGTTATGTAAATGACATTGCACAGTACGTGACCTTTTGAGAGTGCCTTTTTTTTTTTTTTTTTTTTACTAATCATAAAACCCCTGAGTAGTAGTCCATGATATGGAATTTAGCCATTCATCTATTAAGAGACATTTTGGTTGTTTCCAGGTTGGGGCTATTAAGAATAAACTTTCTATAAACATGTATAGTTTTTTGTGAAAACATGAATTTTTATTTCTTGGTCATAAATGCCTAACAGTGCAATTGTGGGATCATACAGCGTATGTTCTGTTTTTTTTTAGAGGACAACCCAGAACAAGGCAAGGATGTCTCTTGTATGTTGACTCTGATGAATCTTCCAACCCATGAAAATGGTATGTCTCTCCATTTATGTAGATGTCCTTTGCTTTATCTGCATTTTGTAGTTTCAGCATACAGTGGGGCCTTGACTTACGAGTTTAAATAGTTCCGAGACCGAGCTCGTTAAGGAACTCGTTAAGGAGCTCGTTAACTCAAATTACTCTACTAACTCAATGCAAAAAAATCTGCAGAGAGACAGCTGGTATCTCAAAAAACTCATTAGTCGGGACATTCGTAAGTCAAGGCCCCACTGTACCTGTTTTGTACACATCTTGGTGATTTATGCATAAGTGTTTCTTTCTTGAGAGAAATGTTATACATTAATTGTACGTTAATTTTGCTTTCCACACTTCTATTGCTACTGCATAGAAATACAATTGATTTTTTTACATGTTGCTCTCGTATCTGCAGCTTTGCTTATTATTCTAGGAATCGTTTCAGTTTTTTTTTGTTGTTGTTTTTTTTAATATTCTCTGGTATTTTCTATGTAGACCATCTTGTCATCTCTGAACAGGGACAGTTTTATTTCTTCCTTTCAAATAAGTATTCCTCCCTCCCCCGCCCCCTTATTAAGCTGTCTAGGACTTCCAGCACTAGATTGAATAAGAGTATTGATAGCTGACATCCTAGCCTTGTTCTCAGTCTTATGGGGAAACACTCAATCTTTCACCTTTAATATGAGGTTAGCTATAGGTTTTTAAATAGATATTCTTTATCAAGTTGAGGAAGCTTTCCCATCCCTGTTTTTTCTGAGAGTTTTATCATAAATGGCTGTTGAATTTTGTCAAGGGTTTTTTTCTATATCAATTGATATGATCATGTGATTTTTCTTCTTTAGCCTTTCAATATAGTGGATTACACCATTGACTTGAAGTCAATCTCTGGAATAAACCCCATATGCTACTTGCTAATATTTTGTTAAGAATTTTATTCATGTACATGTGTGAGGGGTAGTAGTCTGTAGTTATATTTATTTTTGTACTTTCTTTGTCTAGTTTTGGTATCAGGTTGATACCAGTCTCACAACATGAGTTGGGAAGTGTTCTCTCTTCTTTAAACATTTGGAAGAATTCTCTAGTCAAATTATCTGAATCTGGAGACTTCTTTCTTGAGAGTTTTAAATTATGACATCAGTTTCCGTAATAGTTGTCAGGCTAATCAAGTTATTTCAAATTGGTGAGTTGTGGTAGTCTGTGTTTGTTGAAGAATTAGTCCACTTCCCTAAGCTGTAGGGCTGTTCGTAGGATTTGATTATTATTTATTGGTGGCTGCAGAGTCCGTAGTGCTATCTTCTACTTCATTCCTGGTATCAGTCATTTGTGTCTTTCTCTTTTTTGTCATTCTTCTAGAGGGTTATCACTTTTATTGATCTTTTCAACCAGCATAAATTTTTTTTTATCTCATTTCACTGTTGGTTTTTGTTTTCAATTTTATCATTTCTGCTCTTATCTTTATTTTTCCTTCTTTCTACTTAACTTGGATTTATTTTGCTTTATTTTCTATGTTTTTAAAGTAGATATTTATGTGAGACATAATGTAGGCATCTAGTGCTATAAATTTCCCTCTCAGCACTGCTTTAACAGTTTCCCACAACGTGTGATGTGTTGTATTTTTATTTTATTCAATGTATTTTTTACTCCCCTAGAGACTTCCTTGATCCTTGGATTATTTAAAAGTATGCTATCTAGTTTCCAATAACTCACTTGGTGAAGATTTTCAGGCACAGTAACTTGGTTTACTATTTTATTTTATTTTATTTTATTTTATTTTATTTTATGTTTTCCCAGCTGATAATTTTATAGTGATGATGGGTTACAAAGAGAACCACATCTTTTGTTATTGAAGGAGCCTGGAACTTGGTGAGCTAACTTTGTTGATATGGAAACATATATAAAACCACACATACATTCATGCACACATACACACACACACACACACACACACACACACACACACACACACGGCATTCTTATACCACACTTAACCAGCAGAGCTCAAACTCTCATTTTCAAAAAACAAAAAAAAAATAACACCCAAGAAACAGGAAAGGGAAGAATAAAAATACCAAGTCAGCAATGCATCTCTAAAAAACTTAAGCCAAACCAGAAACCTCTGGCGGAAATATCAGATTTGGGGGTGACCATACACAAGCTGTATTTCTTGTAGGTTAGCAACACTCACCTCTAAGCCAATGTCCTCCCCTCCTCCCTCATCACTGCCCCCATCATAGCAAAATCAATCTACCCATTCTGCTTTGAAAATTTGAAAAAAATGAAGGGCACTCCATTTAACACAACAGTGGAATGGAAATTTCAGGAACTAAAGATGTATCACATAGAAAGACAGGTTGTCCTGTATCACATAGAAAGAAAGGTCTATCAGCAATTCAATGTCGGACAGATGATAATTCCCTTCTCTAATGGCATGTGCTGAGGAGCATGGATGTAGTCTATTTATGGGTAGCATATAGAAACATATAAGTATCTTTATAAGGCCTTTCCCTATCCATCTGGTAACTATTTCTGCCTGCCTGGTTTTATGGTTTCATTTCTTACACTTAAACCATACCAAGTGGGGCTTTATTTACATATCTGGCAGTGTCTAGGGTCACGCAGAAGCCAAGCCAGAGAGGGGGATCTTTGGACTCTCAGCTCCAATTGTAGAGTAAGGGAGGGAACCCCACCTTCCCCGCTTAAGCTAAGGGCACCCAATCAGTTTAGGCCAGGGCTTTGCAACCTCGGCACCATTGCCACGTTGGCAATTTTCTTTCATGCAAGTTTGTCCTGTTTGACTCCATCCTTGGCCTCTACCAGCTAGATGTCATGAGCGTCTCCCCAGTTGTAATAACCAAAAATTCCCCCAGACGAGAGACACTCGTTGAGACAGATGCCTCTTCACTTCTATTCTGGATGTTGTAGAAGCCATGTTGGCTGGAGCCATAGCAGCCTTCTTGCCATCCTGAGGAGTGAAGCCACAGAAAGGCTGTGGCTGGGGTAAGAGACAGAAAGGGCCCTGACTCTTGGTGACATTGCCGAGTTGCTGCACCAGCCCTGGCATTTTCTTCCTAAGGGAAATCAGCAGCCTCCCACTACCTAAGCTGTTGTAGCCATGTGCTCTGTCCCTTACAGCCAAGAGTATCCCAGTGAATCCACTGATCACCCTATTCCTCTACTGAGACCCTCACTAGGTCTCATTCAGCATGAATTTCAAACTCCTTAGTTTAACCCAAAGGCCTTTGCCTCCCTCTCCTCGTGTCTCACCAGTCCTCTCCTTTTGAGCCATAATTGGAGTCCTTCGAACCAGCCCTGATTCTCACATTGGCTGATCTTCTCCACCTCACGTCCTTCCTTCTTTTGTCTTCCTGTTCATTTCTACTCACCTTCCAAGAGTTAGCCCATGTCAGTTTTCCCTGGAAGTGAAAACTTCCAGTGCTCCCAAAGTGTGGAGAATTCTGGACGTTTCTAGTACCACTAATGACTAAACAGATACCCGAAAGCTTGGGGCCCCTGGAAGATTTCCCTGAATCTCCATGAGATGCTTTGGAAGCATGAACCCACAATTACATAACACTCCTCTCACTGGGAGTGGTCACGTGTTTCCGTGGGCGGGGAGTCGGGCCTCTGTGGCTTCTTGTACCAAGACAGAGTGCTGGCTGGCTGGTCCAGGGTGAGTGCTGTTGATCGGCACACCAGGTGGCCTTCGTGGTAAGGATGTGCCGTGTGTGAGATGAGCTGGCCAGAACCGAAGGCATCGGGCACCCAGTTCAACCCAAAGAGGCTGCGCATCTTTCCAGCCTCAAACCCTGACAGTCCTGCCTCTCACGCTACACACCTCATCCGCTCTGACTCAGCGGGCGGCCCAGAATGTCACTACTGCGTGTGTTCCCCGGCACCTGGCGTTCAGCCCTGGATGACTCCTACTCGTCCTTCAGAACTTTCTTTGACATCACCTCCTCTAGGAGGCCTTCCTTGCTCTCCAAGGCTGGTGTGCTCAGAGCCAGCCGCTCACATCGCACTTACCACCCTGCATCCCGATCGCCCATTTCCACACCTGTGAGCCTTGAGCATCTTAGAGGCAAGGAACCCGATTTAGTCCTTCTCGAGCCCTCTGCACCTAAAATAATGCCAGGCCTGACATGGCACAGTCAGTGTGGTGGGTGCCGTAATCCTCTGCAATTCATCTAGGGAAACTGAGGCACCAAAACTACATGGGCACTGAATCCTGAAGTCCAAGTTGAAACCCTAGCAGCCTAGTTCCAGCGCCCCTGGTGTTTAAGTTCACTGCTTGGCTTCCTCCTCCTGAGCCGCCTAGACACTTGTTACAAAGGCAGAGGCCGGCCTGGGTCGGGTAGGGCCTGGGAAACCTCGTTCATCATGAGCCCCAGACAGCACTGTGTCCACACCAGCTTCCTGCTGAGAAAGGATGGCCGTGCCCAGGAGCATAGGGGAGTCCAAGGCTCTTCAAGGCCCCGCCTTCCTGTGCTTGTCTCGCTAAATCACAAACACATCCTCCCTCTTCCCCAAACTCTTGTTCTGCCAGGAATGCTGTCACCTCCCCTCCACCCCTACCCCCACGCTGCCACCCGCCCAAGCAATAGGGGAGTGAGAAGAGGACCTCCTCCCCCTACTCATGAGGAGCTGGCACATGCCCTGAGCCCCAGGGACATCCCCAAGGACCCTTTCAGAGGCCCCGGGGCAGGCCCAGAGGCCCCAAGCTTCTCGGGTGTCTGTTTAGTCATTAGTGCTACCAGAAACATCCAGAATTCTCCACACTTTGGGAGTACACCCACCGGGGGCCAGTCCTCTAACTGCAAGCCGTGGTTGCCCTCTGACACCCCGATGGTTCCAGAGGCGCTTTGCTCTGATTGCAACCTGGGAAGCGAGGTGGTGTGTCCAGGGGCAGCCCCAGCCAGCCGCCCACCCGTGTTTCCCCAGCTCCCGTTGTGCATACCCTCCAACATGGTCCAGGGACCAGAGCATGCTTCTAAGGAAAGGGCCTCTACCCGAGTCAGTGA